AGTAAACATAAACAGGAGATCACGCTACCCAGTAAACAAAGTAGAATAACAGGTTCGCAAATATGGATGGTAAGCAATAGAGGTATAGAGGATGCAAGTGTCGGGGGTAAAAAGCGCTTAAGTAATCGGGTAGTGGAGCAAAAAACAGCATTGATGTCTGAGGCGGACGCCTCGTGTAATTCCGCACCCGGTTAAGTTAAGTTTCTGCTTGTATGTAGAAATAGTTGTTTAAAAGAAAAATATGAGACAAAAGGAAAGAAAAGCGAGAAAAGAAAAAGAGGAGAGTACTGTATATGGAGGAAGATTTAGAGAGCACAGGGAGGAGTGAAAAAAAAAAAAAAAAAAAGGGGGGGGAGCGCTGAGGGGGGGGGGGGGGGGGGGGGGGGGGGGGGGGGGGGGGGGGGGGGGGGGGGGGGGGGGGGGGAGGGGGGGGGGGGAGACGGGGGGTGGGGGGGGGGGGGGGGGGGGGGGGGGGGTGGGGGAAGGGAAGGAAGTGAGAAGGGGAACGATGGATCAAGTAATAGGTAATAGCTATTAAGCCAACCATAATATAATATAGTAGACAAGCTAATAGGTATTATCCTTAGGACTTAACATACATTTCGATAAACACGGTCCGCGTCGCTATTCCAGAGGTGATAACTTTGAACGGTATTCACGACCTGTAGATTAGTTTTAGTTATTCATATAGAGATTATAGAAATTGGTAGTTTGGAAGTGTTTCCAACACGCCCAAGTTTTCCGAAATCTCTCAGGGTGGTCTCTTGTCACTGAAATCAATTCCTCTATCTCTGCAACTCTGATGACCCTATGAAACCACTCCCGCACAGTAGGAATCTGTTCTGATCGCCAGTGGACAGGAATACATTGTTTTGCCGCATTTATCATATGCAGGGTAAGAGACTTACGGTACATCCTTAACGGAATTGAGGAGTGGTGAAGTAAAAATTGAGCTGGGGTGTATTCCAGAGTGTAAGTAGTCACTTGTGAGACTATATCTCGCACTTTTTCCCAAAAAGGCTGCAACAAGGGACAATCCCACCAGATATGTAGGAGTGTGCCTGTTGTCTGTCTACATCTCCAGCACAACTCTGAAATGTTAGGGTCAAATTTATGCAGCAGGGACGGAACTCTGTACCATCTAGAGTATAATTTGTAATTACTTTCCTGCGTGGAAACACACATGGAGCCCGAATGTATGTGTTCATAAATGTGATCCCAGTCGTCAGTTGACAAAGGTATTTGTAAATCTCGTATCCAAGCCTCACACGCTTTTCGAGGTTGAGATATACTAGTAGTTTCAAGAAGGGAGTAAAGCTTGGATATAACATGTCGCTGGGGGGAATTTGAGAAGCAAAGTTTCTCAAATGGAGTAAGCGACCTGGAGTAGTCTTGTAAATGCGAGGCGTTATGTGTAAAATGATGAATTTGTCTATATATCCACGGTGTTAGGTTCAGGGATGGCCATAACTTCAAAATGTTCTCTCTAGATAAGAACTTATTATTTTTGAAAAGGTGATGTATTGTCAGATTATCTGGAAGGTCACATCCAGAGAGGAAAGTCCGGGACATACCCGGCAAAAAGTCAGGGTTCTTTTTGATTGGGGGTAAGGGGCCCGGGGAGGAAGAGAGCTCAGTGTTCTGGAATATCTGTCGGCAACAGTTTAACGTGGGGCCTACAAGAGGGTGATCCCGAAATTCAGTGGGAATATGAGCATTTCCAAGCCAAGGGGAGGAGGCAAGCGAAATCATCGAAAAATCAGATTCTACGTCAACCCAAATCTTACGATCACAGTTCGAGGTCCAGTCTACTACTCTTGCCAATTGACACGCCCTGTAGTACCGTGTAATGTCAGGTAGTCCAATACCTCCACTTCTCTTAGGCATGGTGAGTTGTACAAAGCTAATTCTGGGGTGTTTGTTATTCCAAAGAAAGGAGGAGCAGAGCTTTTTATAAGATGTAAAGAAAGAACTCGGTAATGCAATCATAGCAATACTTTTTATCATTTTGGGAAAAAGGTTTTACACAAATGAATAAAAGCTGACCATTGTAGTAAATATCTATGTTATTGTTAAATGGTTTGTCTTAAACACCTAACTGACAATTTTGGTGGACAGCTTGGTCTGGAAATGGAAGTGGAACAATAACAGACTTAATAGCTGGATCAACAGGTGAAAGAAAAGAAAAAAACCCTAAAAGAGAAAACTCATGCAGTGACCACATCTAAGGATGGGTAAGCAACAATTGTCTAAATGTTTCCTTTTGGTCTTAATACCACTTAAAATAATTATTGAAAAGAAGAAAAAATATTGGTCTGTCTGATGTACACTTTTTAAAAAGAGCTTCTAACCCTTACCCACCCTATCCAATAAAAACTTTTTTGGTAAAGTCCCAATTTCAGTTGCGAAAAGTACCTTTTTATATATTTTTTTAAAACACATTTATGTCAGTATTTATTAAGCTATGTCAATATACACTCACCGGCCAATTTATTAGGAATACCTGTTCAATTGTTTGGTAACACAAATTGCTAATCAGCCAATCACATGGCAGCAACTCAATGCATTTAGGCACCTAGACGTGGTGAAGACGACTTGCTGAAGTTCAAACTGAGCATCAAAATGGGGAAGAAAGGGAGGTTTTAAGTGACTTTGAACGTGGCATGCTTGTTGGTGCCAGATGGGCTGAGTATTTAAAAAACTGCTGATCTACTGGGAATTTCACACGCAACCATCTCTATGGTTTACAGAAAATGGTCCGAAAAAGAGAAAATATCCAATGAGCGGTAGCTGTGTGCATGAAAATGCCTTGCTGATGTCAGAGGAGAATGGGCAGACTGTTCAAGATGATAGAAAAGCAACAGTAACTCATGTCAATGTGGACCAAAATCTTTGTGGAATGTTTCCAACACCTTGTTGAATCTATGCCATGAAGAATTAAGGCAGTCATGAAGGCAAAAGTGGGTCCATCCTAGTACTAGCAAGGTGTACCCAATAAAGTGGCTGGTGAGCGTTTTTTGTTATTGTTGTTTTTGTATTTAATATAACTCTAAGCTGATAGTAGACGCACACAGTATAAGGGTATAGAGGTATAAGCTCTCTCTTTTTATCTATCTATCTATCTATCTATCTATATCTATATATATATATATACACAGTATAATTCTTTAATTACCTTTAAACTATCTCCCCCACTTTCTGCTCATTATTCAGAGACAGCAGTGCAAGTGCTGATATACCTACAGGCAGCAGCTTCCTCTGTTCTCCAGCAGTCTGATTCTTATTGGCTGCTCCCTGGTTATAGCCACAGTGTGGGGCATGCCTTGAGTCACTTAGGAACATCAAATGGCTACCTGAGCAGACAACCATTGCCTCTGCCAAACACAGATGAGGTCTCTTGCTGTGGCCGTAACCAGCAACCAGCCAGAAAGTGTTGCATCAAGTGAGCATCAAAAGGAATAAATTGGGAAACATTCCTATGTTGACTATAAATCTGCATTTTTAATAACTTTCTCTCTTTAGGTCAAGTGCCCTTATTGGAGACTGTCTGATCACTTTATAAACCCCGAGCACACAGAAAATGGAGAAGAAATCTCCAACAAAGCGACACTTAGGAGACAAACAAATCGTTTGTTTGGTATTCCAGTTTAACATTTCACTCATTTCTAATTTTCAGGAGTTCCTAGATAACCACAAAGCAGAGGCACTGTGGTAAGATGATGTTTTAGAGCTCATTGTCGCATAATCGAAGGCCCTGTGTGGAGTACTTGACTCCTGCTATCAGAGATCTGGTGATTCTAGCTTGTAGAGCTGCCCAAAGGTCAGGCCATGTTCAACTTCAGCTGCAGTTGTTTTAGTCTCACTATTTTATAGCTTTTATTAGTCAAAAAGGGGATTGATATTGTAAGTTTTAATATTGCAAATTGAAACTTTTACATGTATAGATTTGTATAGGGTTTCTGTAAGTAAAACAGGTCTGTAAATAATAAGAGTATCATAACTTATTTTACATTTTAAAGGTTAAAACCCTACTTGGGTTTAATAATAGAAAAAAAACTATCCATAAAATGTAAAACAAAAGCAGCTTTGTGCACAATACTCAACCCTATCTTCAGCCCTGTCTCTCTTAATAAGCTGATACCATCACTAGATGGGACTCTTATTCCAGGTTGAATGATACCCTGCAAAATTTTAACCTACCTCTGTGAGCCCGGGGTGTCAAGAGCTTGCTCCCTGGAGGTACGTCATCCAGCCATCATAAGTTCACAGGAGAATGCTGCAGCATTGAGGACCTACCCACCACTGAGGACAGAGGAGGAGGAAGGACCCATAACATTATGGGACCAGACTTACAACCCATGTAAAGAGGGTATTAATGCTTTTTTTTTTATGAAAAACAGTGCAGGGGTATAGGGGTAGGACTGAATTGGTTGGAGGGAGGCCACTGTAACTTGGCTTTACCTGTCTACAGCACATGAAAAAAAAAACCTCTTTATAACTTTTTAATTTGTCGTTTTGCAACCTCGAAACCTTCGCTTCATAGACAGTTTCACATCTTTATTTTTTAAACTATAAATCAATGGATTGAGCATAGGGACAATAGCTGTGTTAAAAAAAGAAAAAAAATCTTTTTTGAATCCAAGCTGCTGATTGAGTTTGGTGTAAGATACTGATTGGCCAAGGTTGTATAGAGCAGAACTACCACCATCAGATGTGAGGAACACGTATAGAAGGCTTTACGTCGGCCAGAGTTAGAACGAATTCTCAGTATGGTAACAATTATGAAAATATAAGGGACAAAAGTCAGAACAAATGGAGCAATAGTCATCAGGAAAAGGCCTTGGACAAAAAACAATCTTTCCAACACTGAGGTACCACTGCAGATCAGTTTCATCATTGGCACAATGTCACAGAAAAAGTGGTTGATTTCATTGGATGAGTAACAGGTGAAGCTACCCATTATTGCTACAAGAGAAATAGTTTGGATAAAACCCAATAACCAGCAAAACGAAGCCAAACTGATGCAAGTCCTACGACTCATGACCTTGTGGTAATTCAAGGGGTTACAGATGGCCACATATCGGTCAAAACTCATTGCTGTTAAAATAAACAGCTCATGACCTGCCAGTGACCCAAACATGTATGTCTGAAACATGCATTCAATGAAAGGAACTTTTTTATCTCCTGTAAGGAAACTTAAGAGTATTTTATGCAGAGTGATGGTGGAACATGAGATGTCTACAACAGACAAGTTGGCCAGAAAGAAATACATGGGAGTGTGAAGATGATGGTCCAGGCAGATGAGAAGAAGAATGGTTATGTTACCCCCAAGAGTGATTAAATAAATTAAAATAACAAGAAAGAAGATCAGCACTTGAAGCTCTGGTTTTTCTGAGATACCAGTGACAATAAAATATGTAACGGTTGTATGATTGGTGTTCATTTATGCGAGTTCTGAAAAATTCAAAAGAAAAATAATGTAGCATTATATACTTTAAAAGTTAAGTAAATAAACACATATGTATAATCTTCTCAAGAGATCTTTTACAAGTTTTAAAAGAGGCATTCATGGTTGATTATGTATATCTACAATTGCTAACTGGTTTAACAAAAAACCATCTTCAGCAAAAAAAAAAAAAAAAAAAATCTAAATAAATTTAGAAAGTTATTGAAATGTTATATTACTATGCTGATATCATTTGGTATGTACAGGCAACTAATGTCAATATCTCAGTGGATGAACAACATTATTTAAGTAAATATATTTTTTTCAATGAAGAAATATCCTGATGGTTACTTGACAACTCAGATTACCAGTTATATGACAAAAATTATAACTATACATAGTTTAGTCTGTACGTAAAGTGATTGTAAAGATATTTTTTTCTTTAAAATAATAAACATGTTATACTTACCTGCTCTGTGCAATTGTTTTGCACATATCAGCCCCGATTCTCTTCTTCTTCTTGGGTCCCCCCTTGAACACCTCTGCAAGAACAGTTGCTTCAGAGCTTAGTAAATGAGCAGAAGCTCTGCTGACTTCCAGCATCCAATCATGCGCCAGCAAAAGTGTTTTTTTTTAATTTTTCTTGCACGTGATTGGATATTCCTTGCAAAGTGAATCTTTATCTTATTTACAAAGTTCTGGAGCAATTGCACTTGCAGAGTACAACTGCACTTTGTATGGTGCCCAGCCTATTTGCCTTTAGTAAATCAACCCCACTGAGTGTGACTCAGCCCTCTCCCCTGCTCCCTCCTCACTCGTTGTGATTGACAGCAGTGGGAGTCAATGGCTCCCTCTGCTTGTTAGCCAGTAAAAAGAGAGGGACCCAGGAGAGCCATTGCTCTTATACACACCACTGGATAGTGATCAGTCTCAGGGAAGTACTGATGTGGGCTGTACACTGAAGGTTCTTTATCTTCATGCATAGAAAAAATGAAGGTAAAAAACCTTCAGCCTTTAGAGAGCCACTTCATAGTGGAAAATAAAGCCTATTTCTTCCCAAAGTGTTTATATGTGACATGTGAATCCTTTTCATGTTCATATTGAATGTTCAGATTGACCTTCATTATTCAACATTTATTGTATTTCATTTGTTTCTTCTAAACGAAAATAGGAATATCTGGCAATATAAAACTCTTACACAAAAAAAAAAAAAGCCCACCTTGACAAACATTCAGATGAAACTCCCAATTTCTCATTTCAGTACATCAGTTTGCATTCAGTGTATGTTAAGATTTTCTACTTTATAATTGATGTGCATTGCTTTGTTAATTTCGCTCAAAGTACACTTTTAGAAATTTATGCATTAGTCAAACAATTTATTTAGCTCACAAGGTTCACCTATTCTAGGAAACAAGGTTACTGGTTATTTAATTTGGCTCATGGCGTTCCATCCTCGTTCCTGCAATATAACTCTGTTGCATTTACAAAAGTTAATTCCACCCTGTTTTTGTGTGTAAATACCATTCTTTACATAATTGGCTGCATTCAAATTCCAGAGCAGTTAAATTATTAGCAGAGTGGTCTAGGGACCAACTTCACAGAGAACTAATGTACAGCTGGAGTCCCAAAGTGGTAGATTCCATCTTTGAGTTCCCACACAGTCACGACAAAATCTCTTTAAAGAGTAGTAACAATGGCTATCAAGACCGGATGTATAAAAAGTACTAACTATGTTGCCAGCGGGAATCAACCAGATCTTGCTGTTTATTTACTTACCTGCTCTGAAATCATAGGAAGAAGAAGACTGGTTAGTAAGAGCACCAGAGACAAACGATGCATGAAAACATCTGAGAACCCCAATAAATGTAAGAACCAAAGGTCTGCACCACCACTAACAACTATCACACACATTTGAAATAATATAATCTTGAACATTTAAATTTATATGTAAAATCATGTGCTGTTGTCAATGCAATGTGGGAAAAAAGCCATAGGCAGTCACTACCTTCGATAACCATATTTCTATGCCACTGAGAATGTTTTTTTTCTCCTAGACAATTGTTTCTGAAATGTTTGTTTAATTTGAAGAAGCTAACATTATCCTTATGGGTTTTTTTTTTACATTTGTTTAAACCTATTAGGCCCCAATGCACACTGAGCATTTAGTCACTGAACATAGGGCTCTGGCATTTAGCTGTGAGCAGAGGGCTGTTCTGTGTCCTGTCCAGGAACATTGCTGGTAGCCTTTCAAATTTAATGAGGGGTTGAAATCTGTGGCTGCAGGAGGCTGGATGGGGCACCTAGAAATCTGAACATTTATGGCAACATTCAGCTGGGGAAAAATGCCAAAACACAAGAAGTCTGTGTTCCAGACATGCTGAGAGCATACTGCCAAAAATAGTTGTACTGCTAGGTACGAAATCCACCCACAGCAGCTCTTAGGCTCTCATAACATTTGTCAGGCTACTGACAGTGGGGCTGGATGGGACACCTATGCTCACAGCTTAATGCTAGAGCCCCATGCACAAGGACACCTATGCCCACAGCTTAATGCTAGAGCCCCATGCACAAGGGTTAAACACCCAATGTTCATGGGACCCTAAAAAAAATCACTAAGATCTGGAACTTTTTAAAGCACCTATACTGTTATATTTGATGTGTCATTTGTTTCTCTGCTATCAATGAAGCTATGTGTCACTTCTTCTAAATATATATTATTTACTGTACCTCATCAGGTAAAGTCAGCCTAAAAAGAGTAAGGACTTTGTACTGTACGTATTAATAAGATGTCTCTCCAGTTATCTCTTATTTTTCTCCAGTAAAATGTGGTTTTCACTACATGTGACAACCATATTATATACAAACTAGGTCCTGATTTACTAGTGTTAATTAACACCCTTGGGTCTTCAGAGGCAAGGTCTGTGTTTACATAATTAGTGGTAGCAGATCCTTGTTGGTTGTCACAGTGTACCATTACAATGCCATAGTGGGAACAAAGAAACACACATATTATATGTGTGTGTATATATATGTATATGTGTGTATATATATATATATATATATATATATATATATATATATATATAAAAACTTACTCATGTATAACAGTCTTTTTTTGCGAATCTTATCCTTTAATAAGTAGTATGTTCTATTTTTTCCACTAGGAGCCTGCAAAGCATTGCACCCTTGATCATTGGATTGCGGGTGCAATGCCAGGCTCCTGCAGACATGTCCTCCAGCTTTTTTCCCATACCTCTGTACAAGATTTCTGTCTTAAAACTGTAGGAAGTGTGCAGGGACTACAAGGGCACTCACCAGCACCCTTGCACAATCTATTGAGAAATACAAGCCTACATCTACTGTGGTGACAGACAGGACTTGTAGTTTCTTCATTCACAGATTGCTGTGAATGAATGATGTGGCTGTGTGGGTAGGCTGAATGTGACGGCTGGTTTGGGGAAGAAAAAACCCCTGCTTGCTCTCATGGGGGAGATCAGCCTAAATATGGCTGTCACTCCAAAAGTGAACTTAGCTTTTACAGCTGAACTTCAGCCTTTCCTTTTAGTCTTGCCCCTGTCCCGTACTGAAGCCATTTATTATGATATCACGGTGCACTGTGAGCTTCTCATAGTTTGCAATAGAAGCTGCAGCATGTCAGATAGAGGCTATCCAATTTCTCTAGCTCTTTCCTACAAAGTCTTACTTTACCTGGCCTTCTCTTTTATTCATTTGATTTCAGTTCTTTCAATCATGCAATCTAGCTGGTCAGTGCCGATTGGCCCTGTGGTAGTCAGATGTACCTTCTCAAAGAAAAAAAACCTCTCTAGCCACACCACTGACATACTGACTCAAGCGACAGCACTTCAGATTGGAGAGATTCCATCTCCATTGGGCTAAGAGAGTTGAGGTGGCTACGCCAAGCTGGGAGACTAAGAAAACGTTTGGGAGACTCATAAGGCTAGGACAACTGGGCACATCCATGGACTGAGGGAATATCTTCCATTTCCACCCATCGCCAATATTTGATGCTTCATATTACGATCCTCACATTTACCATTCTGGACATTTTTCATTCCTCTGGATTTCTTTTTTCCTGTGGCAATCATGATGCAGAAAAAAAGTCCAGAGAACAGCTTTTACAGATCATTTAAGTAACTTTGGAGGCAAGCTCTTTCTCTACTCATCAGCCGGAGGAGGTGATATGCTGGATGTGATTCTCCAATCTTTTTCAAGTTTTTTTTTTACCTATCTGTTTTATACAGGAGTCACTGCATTCTGGTAAGAAGCTATAGAGTGTGTTTCTGGATCTAGGACACCCTTTCATCTCTGGCTGGAGTTTTCAGTCTTTACATGAACTCTTTAATAACACTTTTGGTGGTGGTGTTTATGATTAGGCCCTTGAGCACTTTGACACAAAGTTTTTATTATTGATCTTTTTACACTGTAAAGGACATTTGTATATTCTGTATAAAATGATATTCTATTCTGTATGCTTTGCCTATGTATTGTAAAATGCACTCATTGTGCACACAGCACTAATAATGTTTTCATTACATGTTTGCATTCCTTCAAGTCATAATTAGAAATTAGCCTGCCTATGTAACGCCCCTTGTTACCATAAAAGTACAATTGTAATATTAATGTGATACCTATGTAATCACATGTATAAAAAAACTTTAAATACGCTGAATAAACAGAACATTTATTTGGAATGATGCAGAGTGTATCTTTTTGTGTCTGTTCCCTACTGCAGTAGTTAATATTAATTTGGAACCACTAATCAATATGATTATAGGAGTTTCCTAACTATAAAATTTCAGTATTAATGTCCAGAACAGATGGCAAACTTTCCCTAGGAGGGGATTTACAGGTGACCCTGAGAATTCAAAACAAGGAGCCTGAGACAATCTGGGAATTTATGATAGTCAGCTGGCTGAGGTAAGTCCTTTGCTTACATTTGAGATATCAAACTTCCTTGATAAGGTCTATTTCAGGAC